TAAAACAATGAATCTGAAAATCGAGACGCTATCTCACAGTGCTGATGCGGAAATCATCAAGGCTAGTCAAAAGGATGAACTTGTTGCTATGCGTGAAAAAATGCTTGCTATGCAGCGCCGAAAAATGGAGGACCGGGAGCGTAAAAAACGCGACATTTCCACGCTTTGATGTAAATGAGTGTCGAGTAAAACTGTGCGGAGCAAATAGGAATATTAAGGCCGGTCCACATAGAACTTTCGTGTTGACATTGATTAAAACCTAACTATGAATACACACAAGGAGTGTTCGCTATGCAACTGCCAGTAAGTCCCCTTTCAGACACGTCAAGTCTGCTCGTTCGTGGGCGAAGGAGGTGAGAAGAGAGGGGAAGAGTACAGATACCTCCCAAGAATGATAGAATACAAGATTGCGCCGATCAGAGAGGATTTTTGAGAATTACTTTTGTGTGACGTCACACTGGTGCAATTGCGAGAGAGAAATGCCAAAACGTGAGCAAGAATGGAAGAAAAAATGTTGCAAGAAAAATGTAAACAAGATGCACCAGTGTGACGTCATGCAAACGACGATTCTGTCAAATTCGTTAAGAGAGGAATAGCGGTCCGAGATCGGCGCAACCTTTGTATTCTCTCAATCGTGGATACCTCCGTACCGTCAATTCGTTTCAAGTTTTCTTGTCTCTTTTGATCTTTTCGTTGCTTTCCCATTTAAGAACCAAGGATTTGAATTCAATTTAAGTTGATGCGTGCTGAAGCAAATAGAAAACACAAAAGTGAATGCGAAAAAAATTGCTTTCAAGACTTGACGTGTCTGAAAGAGGACTAAGAATTAGCCGGTAATAAAATTCAGAGAATAAGTTATATTACTCTCCCAAAGAGAGAAACTTACTGAGTTTTGCGCGAACAGGACAAGGCGAATATATATAAGGTGGTATCGATTCAACAAATGCAACAATTACTTGTATTTTGTTTTTGCTTTTAGCGGGCCATTGTCAAATTTCAGCTATTCTTCGCCGAAGGAAAAAGGGCGACAGAAAATACAAACACTCACGTTTTCACTCGCTCACCAGCGAAATACAAAATTTTGACAATCAAACGCTACTCACAGCTGATGAAACAACACCACCTTATATAAATTCGCCTTGGAACAGGAATTCCGAGTACCTTTCAAATGTTTGTAAATAATTCAATTAATTGAATAAACAAATATTTACATTCTTTCATTAGTAAGAACGTGTGTGACTCGGTAACAAAGTTCCCGCCGAATAAATTTTTAACAACTATGAGGTGAATAAAATTTCAGTAGCTCATGAGGCTAGTGAAATTCTTAACAAATGCATAGAAAATTTTGACAATCGCAAAGATTGTCGATGTGTTTAATTTTTCGTTAAATAAAAGCTTAAATTGATGAATTGCAATCAACGATGGTAGATGTGTTCTTAAAATATTAATTTCACTGCAATTTGTAATATTTTATTCCGCACAAAACTGCGGTTATCAAAAATGTACTGCTGTCAAAAAATATTTCATTTCACACAGCAGATTGGCAAAACTGTCTCACCATAATAAAAATATTATTCAGCAGCTCTGCCCATAGAGCTTTGTTACCGATTCACCCACGCCCTAAGTCGCAACAAAATTGTTTATTTTAAAATTTAACGAACTTGTTGATTCAAATTAATGTTGACAAAAATGCAACCGTGATCCACAATCCCGCTTGCAAATTCTTGCTGGCAAAAATTTTCCCAGCACGAATTTGCAACTTCCCCTCCAAATGAAATGTCAAAATTGTGGTATCTGCAAGTTTTTTGAATAGCGAACACTTACAATTATATGGGCATGTCCACATATCAACGGCAACGCCAAAGTTAACGCACATAAAAAGATGGGCATCTCTCATGTTATTGCGCGCGTTGTCAATCAGCGGTTGCAAATACATAAAATTATGTGATATATTTTTAATTTTTAATCAAATGTGGGAAAGAAATCTCGTTTTTCATGTTATTATTGGTATGAAATATTAATTTATCATTTATTTATTTTTTTACATAAATTGTTAAGACACATTGGAGCAAAGTTGCCAATTACTTCGAAATGGACATGACAAAGAAGTAAATCCGGACGTTGTATGCGCTTTTCTATATACTGAAATGAATTGCTATAGTAGTATAGTAGAATACTGGTAGCCATGGCTACTAGACCAGCAACTAGACACCAGTCGCCATACGTAATAGGGCCATAACATACTAGCGACAGATAAATTAATATTTTATATCAATAATTGCATTAAAAACGATATTTCTTGCCCACATTTAAAAAGGGAGAACTATTTCTCATAATTTTAATTCTTTGCAACAGCTGACGAATGACGCACGCTAAAAGATGAGAGTTGGCCATCTTTCTGCGTTGTGCTGGCGTTAGCGTTGCCAAATTTCAGCTATGTGGACGGTCGCATTTAAATTAATTTATTAGTTGCGTTTTTTTACTCATTTCCAGTAAAATCCAGTAAAAGTTTTTTACGAATTTTCATGTTTTGGCGTTTTCGTACGCAAAAACTTTAAAAGTAGGGGAAATAGAGAGAGCTGAAAAATGACAGCTGAAGTTGCAAGTTTTTACTGGATTTTACTGGATAAATTTTTACTTGTAAGAATTTGCCAGTACGAAAAACAGCTGATCGCATGTTGCTGGATGAAATTTAAACTAATAAGGAAACTGTTTGTGGCTTTTTATTGTGGAAATTCACAAAATAAACATATTTAAATATAAAATATATTGTTTTATTAGGAATATGCTGCGAATAAACAACCAATTAATCAGCTGTTCATGAAACTTGCAAATTATTACTGAAAAAGCGTTCACGTATTTTTTTGTAAATTTTTTCTATGAGAGCGAATTCTTAGAAATTAAGTTACTGGAGAGTTGCTGGCAAGTTACTGGATAATTTGTAAAAAAAAACACAACTATCCCGCGGAATAGTGTGGAACAAACTGGGCTGTTTCCTAAAAATAGGTTACTCTCTCACAAGTGTCAAAAATGTGTCAACACGAGTCAAAAGTTCCCAGAGCGTGAAGAACGCAAAAAAAAACACATTTCGTGCCCGTAATCAACAAATCAGCTTTAAACAATCATTTTATGTGTATTTATCTTATATGGCTAATAAAATTACCAAATACCTACATTTCTGAGACTTTAGTGCTATTTTCAATATTTGTATTTTACAAAAGTTGCGTTCGATAACAAAATTAGCCAACACCAGCCAACAATCAAAATCAAGAGAGTAAGCGAAAATTCTCTCCCAAAAGGGATGAAAAAGCAAAAGGTAAACGAACAGGAAATTAGCCGTTACTTGCAAAAACCGGAAGAAGAAGACATACCAGCTGACTTTGTTTATGTTTTATTTGTAAACAAACTGAAATTCATGTTGCCTCCATAGTAGAAAAAAGAAAAGTGAACGTTCAATGTTCATATTGGGACAACTAAGCGGCCTTTAGGTGTTAGACTAGGCGAACATGAAGCAGATATAAGAAAACAAAAAAGCAGTACAGCATTATCACAACACATCATAACAAGTGGACATACAGCTGATTTCGCAAACACAAATAAAGAAGGGAGTCAACCCGATATACACTAGAAAGCCTTAGGATAATGCAAAGAAGGAAAAATACAATTGGGGTGTTCACAGTTCGTTCCAAATTGTGTCTGAAAATGTAGACGTCTACATTTTGAGACATTTTTAGCATCAAACTGTGAGCACCCCTTTCTAGCAGTCGTCGCAAAATCGTCTCAAAACTTTGCTGGTGTTGCCAGACATTTCTTGTTTGCGTGCATTGTTTATATGTCGCCTTTCGATTTTGTTTCTGAAAAATTGTAATTATTTAACTTAATTAGCAATTCGTAATATTTGTTATTTCTTTTCCTTGATTTGTTTCTTTTCATCAGAAATTGCGCTCAAATTAAATGCAAATACAGAAAACGTGCCCAATAAATAAAAAAAATGTGATTAGTATTGCCATAATGCAACCCTGCTGCGAGGTTGCAAAATGTAGACGCGTAAAAAACATACATTTGAGTGTGACAAAATGTAGACGGCGTCGTTTTCCGATTTTGTATGGGAAACAACAACACCACAGATTTTACGGTTAGAAAACGTCTTAAAATGTAGACGTCTACATTTTGAGACACTATTTGGAACGAACTGTGAACACCCCAAATGAACAGAAAAGAAGATACGGACAACATTGCGACCGCTTACATTTCTTGTTTATGATTACAAATAAAAATTTTTATTATTTTAGTATTGACAAAGCTACCTCAAAAGATGGTACAGATGCGCTGTATTTAGGTGTTAATCAAAGTTCTTAAACATTGTGAGTTTTTTGTCCTCAAATTGTTGTTTTTATATAATTTTTAATTCCATATATGTATATGTATGTTTGTATGTTACAAGGTACATTGAACAGGTAGTATCAGTAGAGCAGCTGATTTGATTTATTTTCAAATTATTTGGTCTCGAAAATGTCAAATATTTTTAATTTTTTCTCACAAAAATTCTGAATTGTTAAAATCCAAATGCATGTGCATTTTCCATACAAAACAAGCGTTTGAATAGCAGCTTTTGGAACGTTCGCCCAACTCAGCAGCACAACCGCTGATTACTGGCCCTTGTAAAGGATGGATCAATGCTTCGAGAAGCAAACAAATTTACTAGGAAAGAAAGTTGCAACAATTTTTATTTTTTCCAATTTCAATTTTTTATAATTTTTTGTATTTTACATGGCACGCTTAGATTTAGAAGAAAAAATTCAGAACAGTTTTTGACACTTTCGATACCAGAAGCAACAACAAAATACACGCAAATGTTGTTTTTGCTCTACTGATACTACCTGTTTAATGTGCCTTGGT